GAGAAGAAACGTCAGTATGCCAACAGGGTCATGGAGGTCGAACAAGGAACTTTTACGCCTTTAATATTTAGTACAACAGGTGGAATGGGCACAGAATGTAAAATATACCATAAACGTTTAGCTGAGTTAGTATCAAATAAGAAGGGAGAGAGCTATGCAAGCACCATGTCATGGATTAGAGCCAAGGTGTCATTTGCGCTCATTCGTTCAGCTTTGCTATGCCTGAGAGGATCACGATCCATCAGAAGAACCCTCGATATCATCGACTTGGACTTCTCCCTCAACAACGCTACCGCCCGTCCAACGTAGTTTTTGTGACTTTTACCAAGTTTTATATATACCTTCTCTTTTTTTTTTTGTTTCTACCTTTTTGTGAATTTATTAAATTATCATGATTATATTTTAGGGCTAGTGTAATTTTATCTCTTGAACAATAAAGACGCATTTTTATTTTAGCATCGACAATAATAATATTGATGATGATAAAAGGATTAAATTGTAAACAGGATTTTAATTGAAATCGGAACTACTATTAGGTCGTTTTTACTTTTAACTTGTAAATAGTTATTTGCTTTGAGTGTTAATAAAGTTTGATTACTATTTAAAAAAATTTTTACAATTATTATTATTATTTTATTATCATCATTATTACTATTATTATTATTATTATTATTATTATTATTATTATTGACAATATAAGGTTAATTTCCAAGAAATTCCTGTACGGGATCGATTTTTGAAAGGTAGGGTCGTTTTCTTCGTAATTGAAACAACTTTACGCAAGATGACAGAAAAACAATCCAACATTCAACAACAAACCGCAAATTACGTGAAAACATCTGTCTCCATGTCTAACTCACGGCGACAACAAGAAAAGGTGACGGAAATTCCAACGGTAAGGCAAGACCGCCAAAATGCAAAAACAGGATTTTGCCTTCACAAATTAACGGACGGGCAGGAACAACTCTATAAACTTCTTCTGGGAAAGGCTTTCTTGGGGGCACTCGCTGGCTGCGGGAAGGTCGGAATCTATTACGGCTGTTGACTATCCTTGAGACAATGACTAACAACAACAAAGGTTGATTCCAACGTAGATTTATTCTGGAAACGCTAATGAACTTTTTTGCCAGACTGAGTTAGACCAGAGCTGGCTCGACCAAAAAAAGCTCTACATAACAGCCCTATTTAAGCCTAATGAACAAAAGATTAGGTAATGCTATGAATTATCTAAAGGATCACGTAATCTACTACAACGATTGGTTAGGGAGGAATTTTGCCTTTTACAAGATTAATCACTTTCAAAAACTCTGGTGGATAACACCTACACCATAGGCCATGACAGGTGACGGTTACAGTTTAACACCAATTACAGTTATGATCTAATAACAACTGTTTACGGTTGACTGAATAGGAACTGGTAGCGTTTACGCTTTGCTAAGCTTAGCAAGATTTCACAGTTTCTACGTTGAATTTTTCAATATTTTTAGCTCTAGCATAAAAGAACTCCATAACTTAAAATCCTATCGTTACAAAAATGATAAGATACCGCCAAAGGGAATAGATCAACCTGCTTACATTTTTAATCTATTCCCAATGTAAATAACTAGCGTTATTTTCCATCTTACAAAAACTCAAACATCATCCTACCAAGGCTAGCGCTGTGCTCTAAGAAAATTTTCAGAGAACTCCTAACCATTCCAGCCAGGGTACCCAGCCCTCCAAGTTGGTAATTAATTAATTAACCAAGGAATTAATAATTAATTGATATCATGTTTTAATCAGTTGATATTTAATCAAATCACAAACTTCAATAATTCAAGCTGTTTAGAAAGCGTTTAACTTTTGGTGTTGCTATTTACAATATGTAATACACTGTAAGATAACTTCTGGCTCCTTTTGGGCACAAATGAGTCTGACCCCCAGTGAATGGTTAATCAAATATTTTTTCACAGCGTTAGCGATCTTTGAGATCACCATGCTACAGCTTGAGTCATCTGTGAGGCAAGCCGATTTTATGTAAAGCAGTAGGCCAAATAATCAAAATAAAATACCTCCCGCATTAATAGATTTTCCGTTAAAATTTCTTTGTACGTGCATTTTTCGTAAAAGAAGTGAGGGGCAAAATGAAAAAGCCGTACATATTGCAACTGACTAAATGTGGGGAGCTGAAATTTTCAGAAAAGTCGACGAAAAATTGACTGGATATTTACAAGTACAATTAAAAATAGAGTTGGTAGTCTGGCCATGAGAACCATCGGCAAAGGTAATCTGCACTAAATCATGGCGCTTTGGAAGTGAAACGCTTTTATTTTTTCCTAACACTTGCAGGAAAGCTGTGGGATTGTGGAAGGGCTACATTTTAAATCTTTTTCTAAAAATTAAAATTTCCCCACCACGGGACAGTGTGTTGCTATCTTTAGCGGTGAGCTTGTGTTATTTTTCATAATGACAATTGTGTTTCTTTGGATATTGTAAAACCGCTTAGAACTTTCATTCGAAAGCACCAAAGTAAACAAGTCTAACTATGAAATCGTTATAAGCTCAGTTCTATCTAAATCTTCCCAAAGTAATTGCAAGTGGTTTCTCACAGCGATCGCTAAACACCTGCAAACAAAGCTGGCTTCCCAAAAATTTGCATATAGAAAGAATCTTGGGAAAGAGTACCATATAACCCCATACATTAATTATGCATTCAATTTCATTAATTATGTATGCACCCCATTGTTTTTAAGACAATGACTTATTCCCACGGGTTTAGCATATATACATTACTAATAAGTACTTACTGCTTCAATAAAAGAGAAATTGATTGAAAGCGGCTTTTTCGTCTCCATTCCTTTCTCACGTTCTTCTCCCTTCTCCCCTTTGTTCCTAACTTC